CCCAGAGGGAGTAGCTACACAGCTTTGCTAAAATCCCACAGATTGTAACACTTCATCTTGAACTTTAGAAGTCATAGCAACCCCTAAAAGCAACCCCTGTGTTTTTTCAGCCAACAGTTTATTCAGTCCTGGCTCCAATTCGAAATCCTATGGGCCACCTGGCCCCAAATGAAAACAAAACCCAACTACTTTTAAGTGCAAACTTAAAATATTCTGTCCAACTGCCATCCACTTAGAAGGTAATTTGTAACGTGGGCTCAGATCTTGAATTTGGATTTTTTTAGTTGGATCTTGATACCTCAGCACAACCTCCAAAACATTTGCCCACATGGCTTTAATCAGGGACTTGGACAGGAAAATAATTGGGTGTATTTTGGTTGTGCTTCCCAGCAGATTCACTCCCTGGTCCTCAAGCTCCAGCAAATGCTGGTGAGAAAGCTGGGGAGGAGCAAGCGGGAATTAAAGCATTTGAAGGACATGTTTAATTCTCAAACCTGTTCTACTTCCAGAAAGCAGAATTTCTGTTCGTTTTAAATGCAGGATATTAAAATTCAAAGGTCTGAGATGATTTTTAAAAATGCCAAATCCCTTTTTAAGTTTCTGAACTGAAATTGCCAGCGCTGATAAAAGTTTAAATGTTATGCTAGCTTGTACCTGGAAAAAAAAAGGCTTCAGGAGCCCTTGAGCTGCACTGTGTTAAAAAAAATAAAAATCACCAGATTGGTAAAACAAGAGAGTTTTCAGCAGGTGGCTCAGAAAAGAGGGTGCCCAGGAGGGATTTATTAATCACCACTAACACCACATGAGAGACGGCACTGGAATGGCTACAAAGAACCCATGGGAAAAGATTACAGATGGATTAGGAGAGCACGTAAGGATTAGGAGAGCACGTAAGGATTAGGAGAGCACGTAAGGATTAGGAGAGCACGTAAGGATTAGGAGAGCACGTAAGGATTAGGAGAGCACGTAAGGCACAGGGAGGCAGCGGGGCTGTAATAAATCCATGACCCTGCACATGGTACGTGACTGGAGCAGCATTACAGGTGCCCTGTGCCACCCTGACCCCAAACCACGCAGCCAGGGTCCCCCCCATCATCGCACCTGCACTTCTAATGGGGAGATAATCACACACAGAATCACACAGAATTGCCTGGACTGGAAAAGACCTTTAAGGTCATTGAATCCAATCTCACACTGACCAGTCCCCGACTAACTCATGTCCCTCAGCACTGTGTCTACACGACTCTTCAATCCCTCCAGGGATGGGGACTCCACCACTGCCCTGGGCAACCCCTTCCAGTGCCTCAGAACCCTTTCAGCAAAGAAATTCTTCCTCACATCCCATCTCAACTGCCCTGGGCACAACTTGAAGCCATTTCC